GTTCGCCCCCCCCCGGGGGCCCCTGCGGCGGCTACCGGGCCCAGGACGGCAGCCGGGCCCCGGCCCGCGGTGCTCCCAGCTCCGTCAGCCACGCTGAGGGGCCAGCAGCTCCCTCACCACCACTTCCAGCCCTGCGGTCTGTAGCCACAAGGCTACCAGTGGGCAGGGCTGGACCAGTCGGGATGCCCTGGAGTCCGCTCTGGTCGCTGCTCATGTGCCCCAGGGTGCTCAGAGGCCGGAGGGCTGAGGGAGTAGGGCCAGTTAGACCTTCAGACAGGGCCAGTTCACGCAGCCCAAGTGACCAACTCAAGGGCCCGAGGGCCAGGAGGAAGCCAGGGGTGCCGGCAAACCCGGCTGGCACCCAATGAGCCCTCAGCTTTCCTGTGGGCACAGCCAGAAGCAGGGGGAGGCCTTGCCCTGAGCTTGGTGGTGGGTCACGTTCATGGTGGAGCAGGGGCTCTGCACTCGGAGGGGCATGGTCGGCCACGCACGTCAGCCCGGCCTTGTGTCACCGGGCCTGTCCCCACCGCCCCCTTGCAGGACCCCACACCCGCGGCCGTGTGCTCTCTGCTCCAGGAGGACCTCAGCATCCCCCGATGCTGCCATAGGTTTGGCCGGCTTAGACCAACGGAGGCCTCTAATCCGCAGGGTGTGAGGGGGGTATCCCAGTGGCTGGGTGGTCCCCTGCCTCTTCCCAACAGAGAGGAATGGGATGCCCTGGCTCGAGGAGCGGCACCACCGCCTGGGGGCTCATGACAGACACACCTGGGTCCTGCCTCCCACCCCTGCTCCGGGGCCGTAGGCCCCCAATCCCATCCGTTTGGAGTGTTGGGGCCTCAGCTCCAGCTCAGATCCAAGCGCCAGGGCCTGCTGGCAGCCCTGGGGCCCACACGGGCCTTGTCCTCGCCTGGCCACGGGGCCCTTCTCCCCACCAGCCCCGGGAAGGCCTTCACGCACGCTCCCAAGGGAGGTCCAGCCAGGAGCAGAGCTGCAGCAGCACCACAGCCTTGCAGAGACCCTCTCCGGCCGCCTTCCTGGCTGAGGTCCCTGGTGTCACCGGCCTCCCGGAGAGCCACCGGGCGCGTGGTCGACCCCAGCACGCACGGCCCCGCAGCAAGGACAGCCCCGCTCCCTGCTGCCAGCCCCGGGAAGCACCAGCTGAGGCTTGAGTTTCCCTCTGGACAATGGGGAAGGCGAGATGGGATTGTAACCGGAGCAGGGGGATAAATAAAGCTGCCCAAAAGTTTCCATTACCCGCACCTCGCGCCTCTGTTTGAGACATCAAAGCCTGGAGCTGAGCTCTCGCCCTCTTTCCATCAAGCTCCAGCACCGCTCAGCCCATCACCCCAGCTCCCGGCCTGCAGCACGTGCCCTGCAGGGCAGGACCAT